GATGGATGGATGGATGGATGGATGGATGCTTTTATATAGTGGTTCATTTATATAATTCTGCTTTTATTTCTAATCATGTCAGTTTTGGTCCTCTGTACTGCAGAAGCCTGATAATCATCCATTCCTTCATATCAGGTGTGTTTGAGCAGAGAAACAAGTAAAACATGCAGGACTGCGGCCCTCCAGGACCAGGATTGCCCACCCCTGCATTAGATTCAACTGTGTTGAACCAGAGCAGCACCTAAAACATGCAGGACATAGGCCCCTGAGGACTGATTTTGGACACCACTGGCTTACAGTATCGCAATACATCACACTGTATATCAACCCTGTGTAGTGGTATGTGTTTGTGAGCTGAATACTTATCCATACACTGCTTTCCTGTTGTATATACTTTTTAAATTGCTTCGAACAATGAACCCCTTAGTCCTGAACCTAACCCCTGACCCAAAAATGGAGTTCCACCATAGAACCAGTCTTTGGTCCCTAAAGACCATTGGTCTTGACAAGGTAGGTACTGTATGTATACCAGAAATGGTCCTAAAAAGGTAGCAAATAGAAGTACACAAATACACGCACAATTTGTTTATTGATTTTAAGATTGATTATAGGCAATGGCCTACACAGACCACAGATTTATACGGGTTAAACCAGGTGTGTGTGGACAAGTTTTTAACACAGTCTTGTGGGGCCCCAATGCTGTTGTGGACCAAGATATGAATTGAGTTTAGGTGAGGTTTAGGGTCAGGTAGGTACTGGGGAGGTTAGTTTTGGGGTAAAGGGTTATAGGGTTAGGCTATACTAATGACTGGAAAATGAATAAAAGTCAATGCAGGGTCCCCACAGTTGTTATAATTTTTTTTTACTCTGAACAGTATACAAAGTCTTGCACCCTGTCTTTGTCATTCAGGTTTCAACCACTCGGCCTTCCATCTCTGCTTGTGTCTAAGAATGGTGCCAACAACCATACCACCATAGACGGTAAAGGAGATCCAGGTTCAGCTGCTGGATCCTGTGATGCTACAGAAGAAATCACGTTGATGGTACATCAGCAAAGTTCAGCACATGACAACCAACAGCCTCTGAAGAAAGAGGGTGCCAGAAACCATCAGGATTGGTCGTGGGTCGTCGGGTCCAACTGTTCCACTGCTCTGTGTGTGAAACAGAAGCAGGGATATAGAAGCACTCGCCCCTGGTGACCAGGAGCCACCTCATTGGTTTGGTTTGATTAGACTGATGCTAGAAGTCATCTATGGAGCTGTTTTTGCTTCAGGAGCAACACCACATCAAGAAAAGCCAGGAAGATGTTGGTCAAGAATGAAGCCCTTTTATTGACCCTAGTCAGTGTTACAGTTCCAGAACTTTTTATGTACTTGTTGGATCTAGTTGCAAAGATATGAATTTTCCTTCTCTAGAAGCTGGAAATATTTCCATATATTGTGTCTCAATAGTTCAAGGTTTTGGTCTCGATTTTAGACATCAACAAAAAATTAACAAGACAATGCTGTAGGGGTCTTTTAAAGAACTTGTTGATGACTGAGGGGTCTGGAGGTAACAGTCAGTGTTTTGGTCATTGCTATAGAGCACTTTAGCAATATTATACATTGTCTATACTATGGCTGTGGAACAAATTTGAATGGTGGTTCCTTAAGGTGTTGTACGGTCTTTGTTCCACCAAAAAAGGTGTGGTTTTTCCTTTAAACGTTTCCAGACGCTACCTGGGGACTTTTATTTTGAAAACTAGGGTGTCAGACAACTACCTCAGATTCTTATCTTAGTTTGACACCCTTACATTAAAAAATGTTGAAAGGCTTTTAAGGAATTTCAGGGCCGACTGTTAGACATGGAGTTGTGGATCAGTGGTGAACAAACTGCTCAAAGATACTCGTGATAAGAGCTGATGGTGTCAGAACAACTCTGCAGGTACAATACAACACTACCTTCTTCTGAACCAAATACAAAAAAAACACACACACACACACACAATGAAAGACGAACTGTGCCAAAGCTGCTTCCTTCCTCATAAAACTGGAAAAGATTTTCTAACCACAAACTTGCATCAGAAACTATTTTCTATTCAAGACCAGCCCACATTGTAACTTCTCAAGCATGAAGAACTGCCGTTATCAGATTTTAACATCTGTACCTGAATGTAACACTTTGCTGACTCCTTTTTTTTTTCTCGAGCTGAGCTGTTCTGGTGTGTTAAATAGAAAATTCAAAAAAGCCATTCCTATCTTCCTGTATGTATTTTGCAGTTAAGATTCAGTAAAGTTATGTCGGATGTCTTCAGACGTTACTTCAGTATTTTTACATAATGTTCTTTCCTCATGATGCCATCTACTTCCACCTTACAGATGGAATCGCGTTCTCAGTCATGAAAAATTCCCCATTTGTCCTTGAAATGTAACAATGGTCATTGTTGCCAACAGTTGAATTTTGGTTAGACCATGTCTCCAAAAATTAGGGTCTTTAGTCCCTGTGTTCATTTAGAAACTGACTTTTTATGTTGCTTTCTGAGTAATGGCTTCTTCCTCATGGAGTGGCCTTTCAGTCCACGTCATGCAGAACTCGTTTCACTGTGAACACTGTCTGAAAATCTGCACAAAGTCTTTTCTGTTTGGGTTTGATACACACATTTCACACCAAAACACATTTATCTCAGGAATACAGAACCTCTATGACTGCTGGACATTCATATGGTTATAACTGTTTGAACAATGAGCATGGTACATTCACATACCCAATAAGGAACCAGAGCTGTGGAGGTTGATGTATATCTTCATATCTTGGTTGATTTCTTTTGATTTTTCAATGATGTTGCACAAAAAAGTGTGTTTAAGGTGTGCGTTAAAATCCACAGATGTGTGGCTTAACTTACATGCTGTCAGCTAACCTATCAAATGCTTCCAAAACCTAAATATCATCAGGTGCTTTCCCAAACTGTTTAAAGGTATACTTGTCTCCAGGGGTGTCACTAGGCTTTAAGGACAAGGGGGCTTAGCCCCCAGAATACGCATGGAATTTTTGTATATTATATATTTGTAGTCTGTGTGTGTGTGTGTGTGTGTGTGTGTGTGTGTG